ACGTAAATAGATTATAGATTTTATAGATTTATATAGATAGTTTATATTTTTGACGATTAAAAAGGCAGGATTTAATTAGAGATTTGATTTACACATTAAATATTATATTACTGTAGTATAAATATTTTATACATTCTCCATATTATGTTCATTTTTTTTTATATCTTCAAACTTTCCATAAATGCGTAAAAATCCACAGTATTAATATAAATACGATAATATAAACAATATAAATGTAATATATAGGATATAAATATAATTATCGTATTAATATAGAAATAATATAAACATAGAAAAATTTATAAAGTACTTCGACATATACTTTAAATAATACAAATATATATTACTACTGTAATATATAATACATATTACAATTAGATACATAATACACACATTATAATACAGTAGTGCATATACATTATATACAATCTACGCACATGATATACATATATTCTAATGTATATTACAATTACATAACACACAATATATAATACAATCGTATACACATCATACATAATACATGTTACATATAATATATTACATATAATACACTACTATGTACAATATAAATGTAATATATATTACAACTACAATTATAATAAACACTACAATTATTATACTGAAACTGAAAAGCATGAATGAAAAACGTTTCTCAAACGTTCGTCTACTTTAATTCAATTCCCGCTAGAGAAGATGTAGAATGTTACGAATGGCCCTGAATCATGTTAATCGATATTCTTCTAGTTAATGCTTCAATTGAGAACGTTTGCTACATATCCTAAGCTAGTTTATCTCAATTACAGTTCGGTATCAGAAGGAAGAAAAAAAAAAAACGTGTATAATGGTGCAACAAATGTGCAAGTATGATCGCGTTAATCATTGTAATCCGCAAGTATTTTAATTTGAACGAAGGTTATATTCTGTACTATCAATAAGCGCTACAGTGTATCTACAGTGTGTACCAAGTTTCTTTTTACCGTAAAGCCAGATCCAAAAGTGAGAAAAGAAATTTTTATTCGAGGCTGTCTTTTTTTTTTTTCTTTTGTTTTCGAGAACATCTACTTGAATTTAATTATTCCACCGTAGAAATAATCTGCGGAATATAACTAATGACTGATTGATGATATTCGACATTAATGTTATATTTATTGATACTATAAATTTAATATTCATTCCAGGTATTATCTTTGAACACGCATAGATAATGAACGAACGAACGAACGAATTACTTAAAAAGATTTTTTATATGTTACACGTGTTATACTATATTTTATTTCATTTTGTCGTATTATTTTATTACCGTTTATCATTTTTATTTTCATCATTTCGTTATTGTCTATCGTATTATTATCACTTTCGTGGTTTCATTGAACCAAAGATTTTGCCGCGCTCAATCAACAACTTTCAAACCAAACACAGCTACGTACATATTCAAGTTTGATCTTCTCGAAAGCGTGACGAACGTAATTTTCTCACATTTCTGAAAAAATTTTTACTCCATACTTTCACGTCAGTCAATTTGCACTCAATCTCTTTGCATCTGTACGATGAAACCTTGGACACCCTGTATATAGAATTTCATGACGATCATAAACGTCAATGGTGCTCGTTATTTGGAGTTTGTTACAGCTGTTCGAGTTAATAAGCAGTTAGTCACCTGGACTAGATAAGAATCGGATTCCTTCACTAGATGATGAAGGTACGGGGAATTCGATTCACGTCTCACGATATGCGGCACTTTCAGCACTGACGTTATCTTGTGTACGGCTTCCGCATTTGTCGCAGTGTCTGGCCCGATAATTCCTAGTGAAAACAGTAACGCAATGTATAGAACGTATCTCCGATGACATTATCATCGATAACAATAATTTTTTAATTTCTATTCAACTCTCAATACAATATCTCATTTTAACGTTAATAACAGAGATTGTCGCGTCTCTACGCAAATTCATACTTTTTGTAAAGATAAGATCTTTTATTCTATTACGATAGACATTTTGTCTATATTTTGAATATTTTATACACGTGTGTTACGTGCATTCTGTGCGTTTTCTTTCTTTTTTTTTTCATCTTCAAATTTATATGCGTGAAATATCCATTTTATAAATATTCATAGGTGCATGAAAGATTCGCAGTCTAATAATAACAGCAGAGTTGGGCAAAAGAGATTAATCGAGGAAATTTTAATCGCAATAAATGATTATTTTTCAACTTCGGTTATTAATATATAGTTGACGATTAAATTTATTTCTACTTTAGCCGTCAGTCGCGATGAAATATCCCTTAATTGAGATTAACAATTAAATTTTTACTCCAATTGTTATTAACGATTAAGTTCCTTCTAATTTTAATCGTCAGTCGAACAATTAATTACTGAAATTATTTTTGTGGTGAAATTGGAACTCTCGATGTGTCTTCTCGTTCGCGATCTTGCGATAATATATAAAGAGATGATAAACTTGTGAAGTAAAGTGACATTAATACTTAATTGACATAATGACATTAATTTTTTTTTTTATTATTGCTTTTGTATTATTGAAAGAATTTAAAATAAGTTGACTAGGCTTGCAGCTAGAATATACTATAAATCAGAAATATCTTTTGCTTCGATTAAATATCTCAACATCGAAACTTCGTTGTAATTTCAAAGTGTATCTTTAATTTCAATGAAATTACAATCAAATTCGATGTGACGATTATTAGCTATTAGCCGATTTTTTGACTTTTGGTTTCCTTTGATCAACGACCGACGATTATTCATTTTATCGATCGATTTCCCGACAATTTTCGACCTACGATTAATCGTAAATCAGTTAATCAGTTGATAAAGATTTTTTTTTTATTTACAAATCCTCTTAATCGACCGATGCCCAACTCTGTGACACACCTGTTTGGCTAGACAGGCTGACAACATTACGTGATGCCAAAAGGAGAAAAAGAAAAAAAAAGAAAAAAGAAAGAAAGAAAACGCAGGAATGTGAAAGGTTAGAATTAACAAAACGCAAGTATTCCAGTCACGATCGTAAATTCTTTCGATTTCACGATTGGTCAACAAGCGGTAAACTATGTGCGTGTTTCGAACAGAAGCCGATTGCAGCAATGGGAATCAAGGGGGATCGTGACAGGTCATACGAAATGTTTTCCTCGCAAATTTTTCCTAACAGAGTAACAAGCAGGGAAGTTCTCATTGGGGCCGATGTGATTCCTCCAAGGAATGGTTGCAAGGCGGTTACCTAAGTAGTAAGGTGGTTGCAAACAGTTCGTGTCTGCCGCCACGAGAGCTTTCATCGCTGCTTTCAGAGCGCCAATTATGCTGCCGCACGTGTCCAGAACAGTCAGTTCTGCAACATAGTTGAGAGTCGTGCTCCGTTAGTCAACGTAACGCGATTCTGCTTCATTCAGTTCGCGATCGAATGCTGTCCGATCGAGAAATTAAGTTGAGAGATGATTTTTTTTTTCCGAGGGTTAGTATGAACGAATAGAAGGTTCATGGCCTTTGAAACTAATTAATTAATCGATCAGTTAGCTAGGATTCAACGTGATGCGATGTGAGGTAGCGAAGGATGAGGTGTGTATAATAATTCAAGCAAATCCAGAGATTGAAAAATTTTAATAATTGTTACCAGCACACTATCTGTATTCAGAGTTTCTTGGGATGCAGCAATCTTAATAAAATTGGGAAGACAACTGGGTTTTTTTATTGCCAGCGTATGAAGACCTTTCCTAAATAATGGTACCTTTGTACCGTGTAAAACTATAAATAATTATTCAAATTTTTGCTTCATTGATTTCGCAATCAAAGATTATTCGACTGAATTAAGTTAAGGGATGTTTTTCGGAGATTAATGTATGCAGGCTTTGGGAATTAAGATTTAGACTTTATTTGCTTCAATACTAATACGTAGGTAATTTTATAAGAAAACATTACACTGAGAAATGAAGCTATCACATTCAACACTATAAATGATGCAACTATAACGTCATTATAGTTCCCATTATCAGATATCAGACCTTCAAAATTTGCAAAATCTGTTGTGTACCATTACACGTAAGTGATTGCTATATAATTTATCACAATAAAAAAAGCTACTAAAATATATTATATGCATAAAATTCGTTTCTGTGTAAAAAAAGTATATTGAAGTTTATTTAAATTGTTTTTCACTTTCATACTCAGTTACGAAATAATAACCAGTGACGTGAGATACGCTTCTGTGTAAAATTGCCGGTCAACAATGTGTTAATATCACGTAAAAAAGAAATAAAAATAAATAAATACATAAACGATTATATTAAAAACATGTAACATAGATTATTCGAAATTGAGAATCGAGGGATATTTTTTAAGGCTTAAATAAAGTCCATGGACTTGGTATTGATTAATCAGTCAATTAAGGCTTTAGAATTTAAAATTTGATTAATTTAATATTGAAATAAACTAATTTGACATTAATGAAATTTAATCTTAATGAATCAATTAATCAAGGATTTGGAATTTAAAATTTTGATTTTGTATGCAAATTTCACGAAAGGATCAATATGTAACGTGCAATGTAACATAGTACATATAATATAGAAAGTAACCGGTTTTAATCTGTAAATGCAAATTACTCTAGTTTAGATAAGAAATGAATGGGAGGGTCATAATCTGGTGTAAATAATTTTCTTGTAGATGAAAAGTGAAGGGAGATAGTCTTTGTGTTCTTTCATGCACAAATTTTATAAAATTGTAGCTAAAATATCTCTAAACTAATAATTTTCCAACATATGTGAGTTAATACCACGATATCACCATGAATATAAAACGTGAAAATAAAAGTGCCCTGAATATTAAAAATATTAAAAATAACACGAATATCAAAAAATTATATAAAATTAAATTATTAAATTGTATCTTAATAAATTTAATTAAATTATTAAATTGTATTTTAGTAAATTGCCAAATTATTATTAAAGTATTAAAGATAATATGAGTATTAAAAATAATTCCGAGCGGGAATGTACACGCCCCATAGGCCATGGCGAGCTAATTCTCCTGAACGCGTGTATGTGCCTATAGTGTTCAAGGGGTTAGTCGGGATTAAAAATAAGAAAGGAATATTTCGCTCATTTACCGATGTCGTAACCACTCGTTTTGTTGTTGTGGATTTCCGCGAGTAGTTTCGCGGCTTCGTAGAGCAGCACTCCTCTAGCGGACAGCTTCCTGCAGGACGGATCATCGTGAATGCTTGTCAGCAACGAGATCTGTGCCTGATTTCCGCATTCCGTTCGTCCGCCGCAGGTACACGCACAGATGACGCCCATTATCAACAAAACTCGTAACTTCCCCATTATTTTTCGATCTTACTTTCAACTTCTCGTTTTATTTTTCTACTTTTTTCTCTTTTCTCTTTTTGCTATTTTATTCCCGTCTTTCCTTGCTATTTTTATACTTTTACAAATATATATCTCTCTTCTTTTTATTATATTTCAATCTTCGATTTACTTCTCCCCTCGTCTTCCGCCTACGCGTCCTCTTAATTTCACGTCGTAGTCAGTACGAAGCGACGGAGAGGAAATCGTGGGACGTGACACACTGGCTAACACTGTTTCTCTTTCTTTCGTCACTGAACTTCCGCAATACACGCGACGCGAAACGACACGAAACGCGACGAGGGTGAATGCGAGGGCCAGACTCTCTCGTGCGGGCGAAACAGGGTGAAAATCGCTGATCGCGAGAGGGGTAGCCTGTTCTCTCCAGAGTTGCTTCTCCTCGAACTGTGGACCTTGGTAGTGAAAAGCGGAAGCTTTATATAAGGAAGCCAATACGGTATGCATTAGGCGAATTTCTAGGGTTTTAGGCCCCGCCGCGCAGCGTTCTCAAGACGACCTTGTTACGTTCCTCTCGCTATTCCAACCCCGAGATTATACGCGTTCACTCTTTATAACATTGCTCGTATACTCTTGTCGAACGTTTTTATTATAGTCCGTTTAATACGCTATATTACATTGTTCGTCGTGTTATACATTTCATAGTTCGTTTTTATCGTTATAACTCGTTGTTTAATATATTATATTGTTTGTCATGTTATATATTGTAGTTCGTTGTTCAACGGGTTAACTGAATAAGTGATCGGTGTTTCTATTTCTATGAATATTTATCGATATAGGATAAATATTGTGCATATTACACGAAATTTCGAATGATGCTGTAAAATGAAAAATATGGGTTCTTTTACTTCACTTTTGTTTATATTTTATAAAAATTATAATCGATTATAATGTTATAATTGGAATGTTATAAATATTCTATATGAATATTATATTATATTTATTTAATTTAATTGTCCATTATAATATAATATAATGTAGTATGATATGATATAATTATAATATAATATTCTATCGTTTAATTTTTTGAAGATATCAAATTTTATTATAGGATATTTCATTTAAGTTTTTCTAAAGTATTTTTCTATTAAATATCATTCACTGTTTTCATTTCAGACAAAAAAAAGGAAAGAAAATAAATAGAATTAATAGGAGTTTATATATAATATTATACATTGGATAATATTGTATTTATAATTATACAATAATATGTATGTATAATATTGGATAATATTGTAGTATTAATTAATTATGTAATAATATAATATTAAAGTATGTGTGTTATGTAGTTTAAACTCTTATTGAAAAGTTTTACAAGTTTTCTTGTATTTAATATCAAATCGTGATCAATGATTTACTATGATAATTATTAATATATAAATTTATATTACTAGTAGTAGATTTACTATGATACTTATTCTAGTAGATTTACTATGATAATTATTTAATATATAAATTTTAATTATTTGTACTTGATTAGAAAGAAAATTAATTTTGGACTTGGATTTTATTTTATTTACTCCACTGCGTTATTGTATTTTATTAGTATTTTTAATTAACGAATTCATAACTGTTAATTTATAACTATTGTATTTTCAAGTGACGTCAGGCGAATCTATTGTTCCGCCTAAATAGTTAAATTAATAACATATTTCAATCTTTAATTGAATGTTATTGATCTCTTGTTTCCAACAATTTTCGAATTTGTTTTTATTTTTTTTTTTTTTGTTCATATTCTAGAGATATGTACATTGCTGGGAAAAAATTCCAATATCGAATTTTATTTTTTTATCTTGCAATATTTAATATCTTGGCATCTCTTGTTAAGTAAACCGTGACTTTATAAACAACTTTATAACGACAATTTACAAAAATGAAACTTGAATAATGAAAAATGGAGAAATTGTGTAGAGAAGGAATGTGTATAGAATATTATATTAGTTATTAAATATTTAGGATTACACCTCGAATATTTATACTTTTATTCTTTACATTTGTATTATTAGAATTTGCATCTTGAATGTTTGAAGATTTTATTTATTTTTGCATCTCCAAAATTTCCATAGAAATTTGCATAAAACTCCACTTATTGGCATAGTTCTACTAAAGAGTTCTGACTCTATTCCTTTGCTGTTTCTTTCATTCGAAGCCTGCTTCTTCATTGCATTAGTTTCGATAAACTAGTTACAACCTTCTTGCTTTGTGTAGTAGCTTTACATAATCTGCTGCACAATTTTACTTGTGTATAGAAAAAATATAGCAAACTAGAAAACGGAGCATATTACATCATTAGCGTGACACTGACACAGGATGTCTTATTTACGACGAAGAAAAATTATAATAACAAAAAGAAAAGAAAAAAGGAATAATAATAAAAAGTAAGTTTATCATATATAGTGATAGTTATATTTTTTAATTATTATTGTATTATTCTTATTCTATTATTATATTTCATTTAATTCGTATTTTCTTGTGTCTTTTATTAACATTATATTCCAATATAATATAATAAATAATATTATTATTAATTTTAATATTGTACTTTATTAATATTTATTATTGCATTTTATTATACGTAACGATAACAGTTATATATAATAATAAAGTTAAGCGTAATAAAAATTTAAATATCTCTCCGATCTACGATAGAATTGAGTATCTTTCTCTTTCATTTTAATCCATTTTTCTTTTTAATAATTCATATTATTATATTATATTGTTATTTAATATTCACATTATCATACTATATATCGCATAATATTATACTGTTACACAACATGCCGGAGATACAATAAGACGATAAAGATGCACAATAATTGGACTACAATTTTTTACATATCTACAAGAAAGACTTACAAAATGTATAGAATATGCAAGAATATGTTAAAAACACATCTGGAGGGAAGTACTCGTTTTTTAACAAATTTTAAATTTTTAAAATTTTTTAAATTTTTAGCAATTTCTTTTTCAGTTCTTGTTCGTTTCTACGCTAAACGATTCGCGTTTGTTTATAATACAGGATGAAACTAATAAAAAAATCTAATAATAATGGATTGGTTGTGATCTCGAGTGAAATTTTTCGTACAGAGAGAACCTTTCTTAATCAACGTAAGGTAAGCTCGTTAGCATACGTACATAACATCTAGCGAAATTGTAAATCCTCTCGTTGCATAACCTCACCCTTGCATAACCGCGACGATGCTTGATCAGGATGTATCTTCTATCGCGGTTCGACGTTGTTTTAAAAACTAGGTTTCCCTTTGCATGAGAACGATGCAACACGCTTCGTGTTGTATGATACTACCTTAAGGAGAATGTTGTAGAATCTGCCATTCTATATAAAAAATATACATTTCGAAAATAATTTGATTAATCTTTATTACACGGAATTATTAATTTAATAATAATTTTGTACTATTTATTCCGAAAAATTAACAAAAAATATACTAATATACATACCGATATTATAATGAAATAAATGAATACACAATATGTATATTAAATTATAGTATTGATATATTAAAAAATATACAAAGAAAAATATTCAAAAAATTATGGTTATCATTACAAAAATCATTACATAGTAAATGAAATAAAATAAATATATAAATATATAAGATGTAAAAATCAGGTCCAATAGTATGGATAATGCATATGTAATCCGCGCGTGTTGAAGATCTTTAGTTCACGCCTGCGTACATGAATATTGAAACATTCCATTGGCCATTATGAATCAGTACATTTTTTATCCCTTGACACATACATGATAACGTATTTATTAAATTACTTGTACTACGTGTGTGGTATACATCTCTTATCAAAACTGTTAAAACTATCAGAGTCCCATTAAAATTACTATATTTTAGACTTAATTTAGAAATAATATTTTACAGTTTACATAATTACAAATTGTACTTCAATTGTATTTCATTATTTTCGTATTATTATTAATATCAAAAAATATAAATTATATTATAATATAATTATTTATTATAATACATTATATATATTATAGTTATATAATATATAATACCTTATTGAAAGTAATTTCAATAACACCATCGCCAGAGTAAACACGTGTTAGTAGTGATAATTAATTTCAATTTCAATTGTAACAATATATTTTTGAAAGAAACAAATAAAATACTTTATTCGTAAAAAGATACTTTATAATTCGTATACAGAATTTCATAAATAAATAAAATATCATTAACAAAACAAATAATCCACTTTATTAAATAAAATTCTACTTTGTCGAATGTTCATAAATAAAATACTTTATTCATCCATTTTGTACATTATCTTGTAATTATATTCTATGTTACATTATATTACGTGTACTATAAGAAACACAACATATTTTTATATGTAATAATTAATGCATATGTAATATAAAAATATAACAATATTATATTATATTATTATATTTTTATATTATATATGCATTACATTACAGAAAACATGTTTGCATGCGTATTTATTGTTTACCAAAGTGTGAATCTTAAGGTGGTGTTATTGAAATCAAACTAGTAAACGTGCTAGCTATTAACTGGCAAACAAGAATGAAAAGAAGAAAATCGAATAAGCGGGTAGTAGGTGTAGTATTTTCCGTCATATTTGTGGCATATAATATAAAAAAATCATATAGATAGTAAGCAGTGTAAATTTATTAAAAAAAAATAGCGCCGACATACAAGTAAAACAAACACACATGATGTTTCTTTGAAATTCGAGAATCCCAAGGATTCCTGCATCTCTGCTCTGAACCAAAAAAAGTTTAAAGCACCGCTGTTTTTCATCAATTTTTGCAATTAGTGGTTCGCGTCTGCCAAGTTTAAGCACGCGACGCGGAATTAAATTGACGTGCGTGATATATTCGACACGATTTCACAACGTTGCCAATCTTCTATACATAGTAGAACGCTGGATGAAACTTCAATAATCCGAGAAAATGAAAAATG